CTCAGTGGGGTACAATGTCACAGAGTCCACCCTCCAAAGCATCCATTTTCTCCATGGGAAGTTATCTCTGTAGTCTGGAAATGAGCAGGAATTACAGGGGATCCCCAGGTCCCACCTGGAGGCTGGCATCCCTAGGCAGCACCTCTGGGTGACTTGATACCACCTGATTTGCATGACTCAAGTAGGCCCAGCTGCTTGCTACTGTTCATCAGCAGCCACCCTATGAAACCCAGTGCGGTGCATCAGTTAGAACTTCAGATTAGAGTCTCCAAGAACCAGGTTCAGATCCCCATCTTGTGTTGGAAGCTGACTGTGTGATTTTGGACCAGTCACATACTTTCAGCCTAGCCAACCTCACAGGGTTGTTGTGCAGATAAAAAGGAGGAGAGAATAATGTAAGCTGCTTTGGTCCCCACTGTGGAGAAAGACTGGAGGCTGTGGGGGAGGGGTGTGGAGATGGAAAGTTGAAGACAGAGAGGCAGATAAAGGTAGGTTGGCTGTTGGGTGGGAAGGAAATTGTGTTGCCAACTCCAAGTTAGCAAATTCCTGGACATTTGAGGGGTGGAGCCTGGGGAGGGTGGGATTTGAGGAGGGGAGAAACTACAGACCAGTATAATGCCATAGACTCCAACCTCCAAACCATACATGGAGGAGAGAGAGAAAGAAAGGGGGGGCAGAAGGGAGAAAGAGTATGAGAGAGGTAGGGGGAGACAGGAGGAAGCAAAGGCGTGAGGAATAGGATAACCATCCCGCAAGTTTCTTGCCGGTCTCCACTTGTAGAGTACTAAAACCATAGAAGTCCAGTCAGGTCACTTTCCCTTTTCCCCTAATTGACCATTGACCTTTCCCCCCAATTACGATTGAGACTATTTGCCTCTTAAAGAACAACAAGCATGCTTTGGGACATTTCTTTATTTTCTTTTTTCTTTTAACAATTTCAGTCGTTTCTCCAGTATGCAGAAGCCTCTGTTTTTCTGAGATTGTCCTGATGTTTTTTACCCTACTGGTTATCCTGGGTCTACCAAGCAGTACACTATGAGGAGTGCATCAGCTGGAACCCAGTGAGAGCATGAAGACTGAAGAGCCTTTATGTGATGCCAGTTAGACAAGCAGAAGGGCATGGGGATGTGTCTTGTTTTGTTGACTTTCTCAGACTGTTTTAATGTTGGAACCCCTCACTTACTTGGAGATTTAAATTTGCCAGATGACAATCCTGCCTGTGCTAATCACATCCAGATTCAGTCTCTGCTAAATTTAAGCAGTGAAAACAGTCATTCCCCTAAAGGCAATGTTCATTTTGGCTCTGTACCATATTTGTGTGTGTTAAATAAGCAAAATAAAGCTTTGCAGTGGAATTGGTTTTACAATTCTCCTGTGTACATGGCGTAAGACTTAATTTAACATTAACAAAAATGTGTGCTTCATCTGAAAGCTGTGTTATGTCACTGCTGGAATATCCTTTGGAGATAGTGAGGACAAGGGGCGGGACCCGCGATACTTGCGGGGGGGAGGGACCTCCACACATGAGGCAGAGGAGGAAGCAGGAGGAGGAGGTAATTTCCCCCCCATCCCACTGGTTCCCCCTGTCTCCTCCACCCCCCACCCCCCGCTCGATCTCCCCCCCTTGCCTCTCTCTGCGCGGGCCTCGCTGCTCTCTTCCCTCCCCCTCCGAAGCGGCGGCGGCGGTGAGGGAGTTTGCAGGGGACACTCTGTCACTTTTGGGGGGGATTTAAGTATCCCTCCGATATTTTTTCCGGGTTTTTAGATTTTTGTGCACACCTGGGGACTGCCCCAAGTGTGCACAAACATCTCCCTCCCCCCCAGGTGCCCCCGATGTGCAGAAATAAGTATCCGCACGCAGGGGGCATGTTCGGTATTAGATATATAGAAATATAGAAGTCTCATTTGTTAGATTTGGTCTTTAGAGAGTTTTGTGTATTTTGTTTAGTTTGAAATATCCTCCCTGTCAGTGGTGCACTCTCAGCGAGTTGTAAAATTTAAGCCGTGGCTCATAAATGCATTAAAATCCATAATCAAAACAGAATCAATAAAACCATTATAAAGCAACCCATCACTGAAAAATGTTAAACTCTAGTATAAATAACAAAGCTGTGCTTTGCTTCCTAAAAAATGAACAATCTTCAGTTTGGATATAACTTTTTCCACAGGAAAAGAAAATCCAAAATAGTTGTGAATGGGTCCCCTTCTGCTTGAATTGTTTTAAGATCACTAATTGAAAGTGTCCTCTATGAATATTTCACACAAAAAAATGTCCTTCTCCAAGAGTTCTAAATTGGTGCATGCTTGTTCTCCCAAGGGTGGAGCCAAGTAGATATCAACACATTTCTCAAGGAACTGCACTATGCCATTTTTCCTTCCATGTACATAATGTGTCCTGACACCCTGGCCACTGATATGGCTGATGGAACGTGGTCAGATTTTTCTCAGAGGGAAGGACTGTTTTCCCCCCCTTAAGGTCACAACATGCCAGCCTTCCATGATGAAGGTGAGCTGCAGACAGAGCCAGTCCATTATTGTGTAAATTATAGTCTCATTTAAACAAAACAAAAAAGTCGTTTTCACCTGGAGAGAGGATGTGTGAAAGTACAAAATGTGCCAATATGGTTGCTTTTGTTTGTTTTTAACTCCATATATTGTTATTCAGAATGGTGAATTGGAAACCCAGTCTTGCCAGTACATAAGCATATCCTCAGAGAGATGTATAAAGTACCTATAAGAACATTTGAGCCACGTGCAGAATATGGGCAACTATGCAATCATATTACGTTAGTAACATTAATAATTCTTGGATCATGATATTGGTCTTGCTGCTTTGCTTGAGAATTCCTCTGGATACTCATTTATTTTTAGATGCAGTTCAATCCTGTGGGGGTTTTTACTTCACCAGCCAGAAACACAAACTATTTAAAGTTTTCAATCCCATTGGTTTCAAAGGAAAAGTTAAGCATATGTTTAAATATTTTCCACTTAAATCTACGGGTGTCGTCTCTATAGTACATATGCCATCAACACTTTTCTGTAAGTCAAGATTTGCTTGCAGCATATATGGAAATGTCCACTTAAGCACTATAGAGAGAAGTCATAAGCCTACTCATGTCTTATTCAATGGAGCTTACTCTGAGGAAAGCTTCTTTGCATTGATAATCACCTAATATAAGTCAGTTAATACAACAGTTAAGGATTTTCATTTGAACACAGAATGCTAACTTTGTGGCCTCAATACAGATTAATGCAGAATGAAGAATGTTCTGTTGATTTTTGTTTTATGTCATTACTTTCATTATATAGAGGTTTGAAGGCACTACACTAGCTTTGCAGACTCTGATGTCCAGTAGGCCCATGGACTATTAATTTTTGATGTTTGCAGTTCTTGTTCATATAATTCAGCCGAATACCTAGCATCGCTTTCTCAGACTACTAGAATCTACATTGTCAGTGCTAAAGAGTGCAATAGCTGCCATTAACTCAGTGCCAGTTCTTTTCAGATTTTTGAGCTATTATTTGTAATGTCCTAATCTTGCTTCTTTTTCTCATTTAGTTGTGTGCTTCGATGCCAAGATAAACTTTGATGACAATGCAGAATTCAGGCAAAAAGACATATTTGCCATGGATGACAAGTCTGAGAATGATGCTTTTGAAAATGAAGCTGCCCGTTACGACTTGAAGTATATAGGCATGGATGGAAATATTGCATGTTTTGGTGAGCAGAAAAATATTCAGATCCACACTAGATTCAAAGGTTGACATTACCACACCCTCAAGGCAACCACTGGCCAGTCTGGCATACTTCTTTTCAGTCTGAGAAGAGCTGTGATATGTATGATATGGCCATTCAAAGGGGAAAAATCCCAACAAATTGCACAAACCATTCTCAATCCCTTGTGCATGTTTAATGTAACCGTGGATCTTGTTCTCCATAATTAAGAGTAACAGCTTAACATACTGTTGGGCAAATTGTCCTCAGAAAGCCACACTCAAATCTGAAGTTCAAATATGAGTCTCATGTTAAAGTTCCATGTGGTCAATATCATGGGCATATTATTCCCATGAACGAGGCAGATAACAAACATCATTTGTACTCACATTGTTTATTCTATCCCTGTGTTTCTGAAATTGTCACCAGTTAACTTATTGTGACTTTATCCCTAGTGATGAGTGATGGTTATAATTCAAATTTAGATCTGCAGTCTTGTTAGCTAGAATTTCTTTTTAATGGAAATTTGCACTCGTCATCATGGAACCTGTTGTAGTGTGGTTGCAGGGTTCACGCGATGCAAAGACGACAGGACACAAGTCTGCAGGAACTGACTGACTCTCAGCTTCCCAGCGTTTATTTATAAGCTTAGTTTTCCCCCATTTCCCCCCCTCCAGCCAGGAGAACAGTGGATCTGCACTGCTCTCCTACAACCTGTGCAGTCCCACATAGGACTGTGCACGTGTAGTGCCCATGTCTGACTGCACAGGTGACTACTCAATGAACTACAGTTATAGGTAAGTGCAACCATGCTTTCTCAAGAGAGACAATGTGCACCAGTGGATTGTACAGTGCACGCTGCTGGTGTAGCTGCTAGTCTTCAAATATTTGTAAGATGCAGAGGAAGATGGGAGAATAAACCATTTGTTTATCGTACAGGCAAGCATTCATGCATGTGTGTGTGTGTGTGTGTGTGAATTCTGAGTCACATATATTGGGAGTGAAGGGCATGAGTCCAAAACTCAATCACATATATAGTCATTATGTTGGGAGAACCTGATATTAGACTGTAAGTCATCTAGGTGGAGTAGGGTTTGTGTTCTGTGAGAGAATTTGGCAGTATCTGTCCTACCTACCTATACATCCATTTTAATCCTGCCCTTTCTCTAAAGAGCACAGAGTGGTAACGTGTTTTCCCCCTCCCAACTCAATTTTGTTCTCCCAACAATATTGTAAAATAGGGTGGTCTCTGAGACAGTGAGTGCCCAGTCTTCCCGACTATGCTTCAAGGCTGAGTGGGAATTTGACACTGTAACCGCAGCACCAAACGTGCTTTTGAATAAGCCTTGAAAAAACCACCACACGCTATGGCTATTTGTGCAACAGTTGCTTATTTGATTTTAAAATATTTTTCCTCTTCTGTGTGATAATGTCAAACAAACTTGTATTGTTTTTCTTGTATGTTAAAATTTTCATTCAGACTCTTCATTATTAGAGTAAGAGAGGACATTTCCTCAGGAAGAGAGCGTAGGCATTACATTTCATTCATTATAAACAACCACATTTCATAGAACTATCCATTTAAATTCAGAATTGATGTGTTCAGTGTCACTTTATGCATAAACCATTCAAGTGGTAAAAAAGAGAAGGTCTTATAGATAGTGATGGAAATTCCAAAGGCCACCCCAAGGGATTTGTGGGCTGTTTTGCAGGCATTGGGGTACCCAGTCTTTCAGATACTCCATAAGCTTTGCTGGTGACTGCTCCTGAATCTTCCCCCATGACTTGAAAGTAGTGTGCAAGGGGCTGTTTTTTGGAAGTAGTAATTCAATTTCTAACTTTCCTCTCTCCACATAGCAGTTCCATGCCTTTACCCTACCTTTCCCCCACAAGCAAGGACTCAAGGCAGGTGAAAACCAGGGGTCACCAACATGGTGCCTGTGAGCACCGTGGTTCCTGTCAACATTCTTTCCTGGCACCCAGCAAGTATTTTTAGAAAGTGGGTGGGGTCTCTGGCCTATGGAGATCTGATTGGCTGTTTCAGTTGGAGCTGCTACCAATGTTGGTTTTATTCTCTCTCCCTCCTCTTTAGTCTCTCTCACTCCTCTACCCCAATTTTTTGTTGTTGTGAAGCTGGAATTTACAAATTGCACTTTGTTGACTAGCACTGCCCCTCTGCTCTGTCCTGGCTGCAGAGATTAAAAAGAAGGGATTGCCCTTAATGTGAGGTGAGCAAGAGTTAAGAAGCAAACATACCTTGGTTTATGCGCAAGCCATGTTACTTATATTTAGTAGACTAGAGTTTGTTGAACAAACCACGGTTTATCTTGATGTCTGGATGCAGTCTTGCTCATTTTGATTTGCACACAGAGCCAGTGCAAGAGAGAATGGAAGGATACCCTCTGCCTCTCTTTATCAGAACTCTGTTTTCCCTGAACTGAAAGAATATGAGGGCCAGGAGGCAGAGGCAGGCTATCAAGCCACTTCTCTGAATGTCCTCCATGCTCCAGTAGGAGTTGCCAGAGATCGCCATGACTTCCAGGCATGGGCACACACACACACACACACACACACAAATGCAAAAATAAAAAAATGAACTCTGTGTTGAAGTAGCAAGTTATATGAACACAGGTTTTTATGGTCTTTGAGCACGAGCTCTGCTGAAATAGTTGGAGGTTGTGGAGGAACAAAATTTGTTGGTGTGATCCCTTATGGTGCCAGCCAAAGCACGTTACATTAGAAGTATGTTCCGTTGAAATCCATGGCACCTGTAGCAAGCGTAATTTGCTGTGGGGTGTACTTTGCTTTGTAGTGGTATGTTTAAACTACATTTATCTTTCATAAGTCTGCATTTTGCCATTTACAAATTCACACCTCTAATTCTCTTAATTACAGTCAATGGAGCCGGGCTTGCTATGGCAACCTGTGATATAATTTACCTTAATGGTGGAAAGCCTGCCAATTTCCTGGATCTAGGTGGAGGCGTGAAGGAAGCGCAAGTGTATCAAGCATTCAAATTGCTCACTGCTGATCCCAAGGTAAAGCCTGTTGTCTTTGCACAGAAAATTTTGTAATGCAATTATACACTGTCTTCCCGAAGCCAAGAATGTACTTAAAATTCTGAACTGTGGAAACAGTACTTAATGCAGCAGTTTTCTGCAGCTGTGGTAGTTAACTTGCCCATGCCTCATCCATTAAAACTACTTCAGTCACTTACTTCCTTAGCTTTATTGTGAAGAGTCACACCTCGAGCTAGAAAAAAGTGATCTGCTTACTTAAGCTGCCTTTGGGGTACTCTGGCAATATGGATAAATGTACAGCCCCATCTGCTTCAGAGCGTTAATCCGAGTCACGTTGAACTAGCTGGATGGAGATACGCCTCCCTATTTAAGGCCATCAGTTGTTCCTCACAGCTGTAGCGTTCTTTGGGATCTTATTGTAACAAATCACTTTCTTCTGAAGTTGCCCCTTAGGACGGCCGTCTCAGGTTTACAAAATAACCCAAAGCCTTTCCTGGCATTCTGATTTGATTGTACCTCAGTTTCACTGTCTACCGTCTAAGCAAAGTGGAAGGAAGGACTCCTTTCACTGCCTCTTGAGCAGCCCGGGTGCCATTCACCGGTGGCAACCGGGAGTTTAGATTTTTTTTCCACCCATGTTAGAGAGGGAAGAATTGGATTACATCAAGCAATGTGCCAGTGAACCAAAAAAGGGGGAAAGATGCCAGGTGACAGCTTCATTGTCGTACAAAGCCCCTACACATTTCGCTTCATCAGGGGAATGAGAGAATTCACTTAGTGCTGAACCTTTCCACAGCAATTGAGTTCTGTTACTCAGTAACAGCTTGTATGAAGCTTGTACGGCAAAACGTGTAGGGGCTTGGCATGACAATAAAACTGTCACCCGGCATCTTTCCTCCCCTTTTTTGGTTCGCTGGCACTTCACCCATGTTAGTCATAGAACCCCCTCAAACAAACTTATATTCAACTGACAGTCTTTCTGTAGCAAAAAGGATCCAAGATAGTGTATATCCAAGCATTTTATGGTGCCCTGTTGTGCGGTGGTGGTATTCTTTTTTGTTGTTCTAATCTGCATCAATTTTATGTAATAACCCTGTTTTTTCCCTCATCTTCTCTTTTGGTGTTGCTGTTTTATTCTCCCACTGTGAAAGAATTGCTGTTTTTTCAGCCAGGAGAAAACACCTCTCTCTATTTGAGGTCCCCCCCCCCCCCGCCTTTTGTTCTCTTCCATTTTCTCCATTTTTAGAAAAACTTTCTCAGTTCTTGCTCCTGCTTTGTTTCCTGCTGCTTCCCAGAATCTGTCTGCTTTAAAGTTTCCCATTGGGTGACATGGACCTCCTCCCTCCCCCTCTCTCTCTCTCTCTCTTCCCCTCCCCCCTCCATTTCCTCTCTTTGTAAAATGTGGCCCTGCTAAACACCCTGTCTGCCCTTGGGCACCTTGCTAATAGGAATGTCAAGCCTTGACGCATAGGTACAATTGGTGCCTCTGGCTTTGTCCACTGTAGAGTTGAAATCAGGCAGAAATTATTGCCATCATCCTTCTCTTAAAGTTATTAACCTCTATTGCTTTGACTTGGTCCTTCCGCACTATTGTTCCCGTAAGTTTATATTCTGCGGCAGTTCCCTTTAAATGAGCGCTTTTTGAATGACTGGTCCCTTGGCACCACAGTGTGACTGATTTTAAGCTTTTTACCCTCTTGGCACTGCTGTGGCCATGGGTGAAGCTGCTTCCATGTCGACAGGCGATCGGAGAAATCGTGTCATTAGAGAAAGAGCTTTTACTTTTCAGTACTGAATTATGAACAACTAGGAGTAATGCCCGTTGTGGGAAGAAATACAACTGGATCTAGAAGGAAGCTCCAGATGAGTGTCCCAACTGTGGCTGGTGGGGCATCAGAGGGAAGTGGAAAATGGAGGGAGGCAAGCCATGTTTCTTTCCTTCTGCTTAGCTATAAGGCAGGGCTGTCTCAAGTCATTTTGCTGCCCCAAGTGGGTAGAATGGGAGGACAGCCTCATGGTAACAGATATGGTTCTCTCCACCTCTGACTTATTTTTTGAGGGAGAGGGGGGTGTTACACAGTGGCGGCTAAGGTAGAAGAGCACCTCCTCCTGTGCCATGTTTTCTGGGTTCCAAGGGTCTGGAAAGTAGTTCCATAGCTGATTACATGGTTGCCAACTCTGGGTTGGGAAATACCTGTAGATT